AAAAAAAAAAAAAAGAATTTTTTGTTGGTAGCATTTACCTAACGAAATACATTTCATAACTTAGCTTTCATAACTTTTCTGTCCATCTGTCAGCATTGAACTGTTAAGCAACAAAATAATTTTTCTTTCTTCTATCAGATAAAACTTAAACTAAAAGAACTGATGAAAATGATGAAGAAATAAATGAAAAACAAAAGTAATATCAAAACTTTTGTTTACCATCCTAAATTCAGGAAAATATTTCAGGTTTTACTTTTTTTTTGATGACCATCTAGCACGTACAAAAAAAAAAAAACCATAATGCTGTCGGACTATCGACCAAAAGAATCAGATACTATAAAACCAGCTACAGCTTGTTTCTAAGAGAAAAACATTACTGTTTAGAAGTGCATGCATAATCCATTTGACACATTTTTCCAACTATTACTATTCTTAAGGTGACAAACGAAAAGTCTTTTCATGCAGATAATTAGCTGAATGAACTGTGGATCACCAGTGGTTACAGTTGTAAATCAAACAACTAATCATTTGCCTTTTTTAGCTCATCCAGAGAGCTTCAATAAATTGGTATCTCAAAAACTGTACAACACAGAGTATGTATAAAAAAGAGGACCAATGCAACAAATAGTAAGTGGGAGATGGTAGTCTTTCAAATGCAGATAAAAATTTAAGCCTGGATAGTGTGTACCATTTTGGTTGATAGATTGCTGAAAAACTGCTGACTGTACCGCTGACTATCGTACCAGTGGCAACAAAACAGTTTAAGCTTCCACTCAGATCAGATTATTGAAAGTGAAATACCCATAAAATGTAAGTAAGCAATTGAAGTAGTACAGACAATAATCTAAGACGTATTGAAAAATCTTTTAGTACCCACGACAGCTTATAACTTTCCTTTTTCTTTTTTCCTGCCGATTACTGACGATGGTACACCGAAGGATTGACTGATGGTCAACACAATATAACGCATTGTGAATATCGGTGATCTCCATTCAGTTAGATTGAGGGTTATTTCAAATGATTCAATGCTTCAGCTGCTCAAACTTAATCTAATTTATTAGTTTCGTTACATTTTCACGCATAATTGAAGCCAACAACCACTGGCTGTGGTTCTTCTATTCTGACGGAGGCTAAAAGGTTCTGGTTTTACCGTTCGAATTAATGTGAGAAGTAATAAAATAGATTCTATGTTTTCCATCAGCTATCTGATTCCGCTGTTGTTTTCGTTGTTGTTGTTGTTACTTCTAACGGACCTAACAAAGGAAAAAATTTACTTTATTTGTTCGCCAAAAGAAATTTTTTCTTTTTATTTTTTGCATATTAATTAGGTAGGCATTGGTTAGGAGAATATGGTTTCCTGTTACCCAAACGATAGTCTCTAAATTTATATTTTTAATATTTTTTATAACCCTTATATGTTTATTATGCCTCATTTTTGTTTCTGCCTTTGTTGACTTCTAGACAAATACATTGAAAAGGTTTCCTTGTTTGCTCTGTTTATGACTTTCTTCTCATTTTTTTTCCTAATAAATATAATAAGCTTTATTTCGTTTTTCAACTTTCTGCTTTTTTTTTTGAAGCACAGTCTAAGTCAGTAACCTTTGACAATGGTTAAATATGTAAATTTTTTTATTTAGCTCTTACCACTTTTTACCCTTACGATTAGGTGTACTGTTGTTTTCGTCTTTTTTTTCTCCCACCAACATATTCACTGTATACCGAATTGATAGAACTAGTTTGCAAACACTATTCTGGACAATAAAGTAGCGAAGAAAAAAGCACCTACATTTGGTCGTATAAATAAATTTTTTTTTGCTAACTAATCCAAAAAAAATGTCAGAATATAAGCAGCACCTTTTTTTTTTTTGCACATTATGACTGCTTTTCCTTTCTTTCTAGCAATAATCTAAGAAAAATGCAGAAAGAAACGAAGAAGAAAAAAAGAAAAAGAAAACAAAAATTCAGTAATTTTTGCTGTTTTTGGTATTTAAATTTTTGGATGATGACGATGATGACGATAAATCAAAATAGCTGAGAAAATGATCGTCAAAAAGAAAAAACAAGCAAGAAAAAACTGTTTCATCAACCATTCAGTCTCATTATGCCAACTATTTTCAGTCTTCAGTTGCGCATTTCTGGCATCACTGATCCTTCCCTACAGTGGTCTACACTCACCCTTTTTCTCATTGTTCTATATGCTTGATTATCTTAACCTTACACTCCAGACTTAGTCAACAAGAAATAAAGAAAAATCAGACTGCAGAAGTTGTCAGCATCACCTTTTATGCGCAGAAAATCGATGCTACACCGTATGATTCAATGAAAAGGATTGTGGTGACCCAGTCGTTCAACTACTGTTACTGTTTCACCAAAATGCTTGATCATACTTACTACCTATTGCCCCATTAAACTCAATTTTGGCAACATTAGCTTTAGTAGTTTACAGATGGATTCCGGAATGGTTGAAGAACGGAGTTTCCAGTTCGGAAATCAGGGACTTGCCAATCGGTGTCACGCCACACGCATAAAAACAGCGAAGGGTAACCGCTGCGACTGCTGAAGTAACAGAACGACACGGTACTTAAGATGGCTGCAGTGGAAGTTTACGGACAAACCGTCGTCATCGTTGTCATCGTCATCCCGGGGTGTTTGCTTATTGCGCGTTGTGAATCACAAATCATCATTTCTTTTCTCCCTCTTTTTTTTTCTCCTCCTCTCTTTGCCTCTCTCTTTATCTCCGTCTCTTTCTCTTTTCTTTTTTAGAGAGAGGGAACTGAAAAAAGAGGTGGAGAAAGACAAATGGGAAGATGGAAAGAATACAATGAGGAAAAAGATGGATAATAGAATTGATCGAGCGCTTTATGTTTTCGAAAGGCTGCTTTTGCTCAGACTTCTACTTTGCCACATCTGACTGTTGAAGTCTCGATTTACGTTTACAATTTCTCAATTTGTTTTTCAGATTTTCTTTCTTTGTTTTTTCTTCCACTTATGTTTTTTTGTAGTAAATTCCCTTAAAAGAACGCAAAGAGAAAGAACAACAGAAAAAACATTACTTTTTATTACACAGT